CTGTGGCTGTGGCTGTGGCTGTGGCTGTTGTTGTTGTTGTTGTTCTTCTTCTTCTTATTATTAGTCTTCTTCTTCTTCTTGTTGTTGTTGCTGTTGCTGGTGCTATTGCGAACGTTCATGTTAATCACAGAATTAGTATTATCATTATTGTCTGTTCTCCAATTCTGAATATGAGCAGAACTATCACATGATGCCCGCTATTGTTCGTGTTGTTCTTCCTGTTGCTACTTTCTTCAGATTGCATGTTTTTTCCCTTCTCCACTTCTCATTCTTCCTATACTCCCCTTAGAACCTTATAATAAACATATGACTTTTTAGTATCCTCCTGGGTTTTATATAAATAAAAAGAAAATATTCCCAAGGGGGATGGGGATATAGCTTCTTGTCGGTGAGCAGGGTTGCTGGTCGCGAGTTTAGACGATCTCATCTTGGGTGCCCCGCAAGCCCTGAACTGACCCAAACACCCCAACTACCCTTGCCTTAAAGGGCTATCTGGGGTAGGTTTGGGCGCCCTGTAAAGAACCACACTTCTATGGCTTTCTGAGGGCTATATAGAGATTAAGGGTGATAAGCTATTCAAACCTACCCCTGATATTGGGCTCCGGAAGGAACTGAAAGCGTATGAGCTAGACCCAAAAGCATAGGAAGAAAAAGGGTGTCATTTTTGTGCTTCCAGGGCCTTAAAGGGTACCGAAACCTTCCAAAAAAGGAATAAGGCCTAGTCTGGATCCTAGCCCTAAACCCTAAACCCTAAACCCCAAATCCTAAACCCTAAACCCTAAACCCTAACCCCTCTTGGCAAGGACAGGACTCCAGAGGTGAAGGGCTTGCACCGCCGAAGAGGTTGACGACGCAACTGCCAGCAGCAATGCCGGCCTCAGCTGAGGAGGCCCTAGACCCTAAACCCTAAACCCTAACCCTAAACCCTAAACCCTAAACCCTAAACCCTAAACCCTATCAAGCCTAAACCCAATCCTCAAACCTTAAAAAGGCCGTTGAGTTCAAAGTAAAGGCTCAGCTGCTCACTTCGGCCTCTAATTATGGCTCCGTTTGTTGGGGTTTAGGGTTTAGGGTTTAGGGTTTAGGGTTTAGGGTTTAGGGTTTAGGGTTTAGGGTTTAGGATTTGGGGTTTGCGGTTTGGGGTTTGGGGTTTAGGGTTTAGTGTTCAGGGTTTAGGGCTTTTCTTGATTCTGTGATCGGGATAGCTAATTCGGGAGCCAATGAAAGGAACGACCAAGTGGGCTCAGGGATCTTCAGTACTGGAGCTTAGTGTCAACATGGAATTGGAGTTTAGGGTTTAGGGTTTAGGGTTTCGGGTTTAGGGCTTTAGGGTGTAGATATGTTCCCGTAGTTCTAAGGGTAGTTTCATGGGCCCTTCCGATGGTCCCTTACCTCCTTTAAACGGGCTCCGAAGTATGGGCCCTTAGGGTATATGGGGGGTATGTAAGGGGTCCCCATTTTTGAGCGCAAATGCTAAGGCACCCTGAAACTCTACCATAGAGCAATGAATCTAGCGCCCGCTCTGCCAAACTCGAAGAGCGAAACACTCAACCACAACCGTAAGTGCTAGGACCTGCCACTTGGAGGTTCAGGGTACTTCTTAACCAACAATAACGTACTTATCACCGAATTATAATGATGTTAGGGCAGTGAAGGGGCTTATAAGTGGGTTACAGGTACAGTTATATCTGGTTATAAGTACCAGGAAGTGAAAAGCACGCTAAAACCCCTAAGTCCTGAACAGGGGCGAAGAGGTTGCAAGTGTCGAACAGCCTTTCGGCGCTGCTAGGCCACTTCGAGCAAGCAATTTACACTCCCAAACCCCAAAACCCTTTACCGAGTTGATCAAGCACAGCACATCAACCTCAGAAAAAAGTGACAACAGCTATGCACCTCTGCCCGAAGAGCCCAAGACCCCCTTGATTCAGGAATATTCCTTCAATCATAACCATAATAATAATAATAGGGATCCCTTTATAATTTAAGGTATATTCTTTGATTAAGGGGCATGGGGCTCTCAGGGTGCAAACGCGGCAAGGTGCGATGATCTGAGTTGCGCAGTAGACGGGCACCTTCTCCCACCTGTACATGTTTTTCTCAGAAGCTGAGTGCTTGGTTTAGGGTTTAGGGTTTAGGGTTTAGGGTTTAGGGTTTAGGGTCTAGGGTTTAGGGTGTGGTTGAAAGGATCCAGGGATCAGGGAAGAAACCCTCTACATAATCTCGCTCGAGGTGACAACCACGCCACCAGTTTCCACGAATCCTTCCCTGATCCCCTAAACCCTAAACCCTGGCCTCAGAACAGAAGATACCCCCAACCAACAAGAAAGGCGGGCAGCGGCCACCCGTAGCCCTAAACCCTCCGAAGTTTTATGGGGTTTAAGGTTTAGGGTTTAGGGTTTAGGGACGAGGGATCAGGGATTAGGGTTTAGGGCCATCCCTGAGGATCCATGTACCCTATCATGGTATAGACTTGGGCCCTAAAGCTGCTATACAGGAACCC